TTTGTTTTGACGCCGTTAACATATCAAAATCGCTGCCCTATCAGCGATTTTGTCAATTTATTTTTTTTTTCAGAAAAACGCTGTCCGTGCAGTGCTTTTGCGATTCTTTTTAAAAAAATAATTAAAATCGCTGCTTATGGCAGTATAAAAACAATTTTTTTTTTTGGAAATCGCTGCCTTGGCAGCTATTTTCGTTAATATATATTTTTTTAAATCGCTGCTGTTGCAGCGTTATTATAAATTTTGTGGAATTTTATTTTTTTTTAGAAATTGCTGCTTTAGCAGCGATTTTGGTGGAAACTTTTTTTAAAATTTTTTTTTTTTTATAAATATCGCTGCCAATTATATTTTTTAAATCGTATTAAATTTATTTATTTTTCACTGACAAGCAGCGAAATTTCCTTCCAATTTTTTTTTTTTAATTGTTCAAACATTCACATGTCATATTAAAAAAATAATTCCAACTCACATGCATGTCTAAAAAAATAGAAAAAGTTCACATGTTTCTTTTAAAATTTTCTTATAAATTGGTTGAATTCTCCCTTCGAACTTAAGTATAATTTGCCAAAGGCAGCGATTTAAAAAAAAAAAAAATTATAATTAAATGTTGACTAGTTGACAGAAATTTCAAAAAAAAAAATTTGTTTATTTTTATTTCACTAAAATCGCTTCCCAGGCAGCGATTTCTAAAAAAAAAAAAACATTAACGAAAATCGCTGCCAAAAAAAAGAAAAAATTCGTTTTTATAAAAACGCTGCCATAGCAGCGATTTTAATTTTAAAAAAAAATCACAAAAACACTGCACGGGTAGCGATTTTCTGAAAAAAGAAAAAAAGTTGGACAAAATCGCTGATAGGGCAGCGATTTTGATCTGTTAACGGCGTCAAATCAAAATCGCTATGTCAGTAGCGATTTTGCCCTTTTGGTTAGAAAAAAATTTGATGTGCCATTTTGAAATTTTTGTCAATTTTTTTTGCCTTTTAGGCTCCGGACTCCACTATTTCATCCTCTTATAAAAATATATACCACTGGAGGGTTGTTTGGGGGTTTGATAAGGTTTGTGTTATTCATGTATTAACATATAATTTATAAGACATTTGGTAAGTAGATATAAAATAATTTATTTATGTATAAGATTAATATGATATTTGGTTGAGAATTTAAAAACCCCATAACTAATACATCTATAAATTATGAGAGAATTTATGTATTATTTGATGCAAGATAGAAGGTGGAATATCTAGTATATGTATAACTAATACATGCATAAAATATATAATACATACATTCACTCATAACTAATTTCTACATTACTAAAATCTGCATAACTCTAATCAACTATCAAACGACCCCATACTAGTTATGCGGATTTCTAAATTGTTAATCAAACGTCGTTTTAATTTTATACATGAATATAACTTATTTCCTATCTACCTGTTAAACTTCTTTTTTTTTTTTTGCTTTTTGTCGTTTGTTAATGGAATTAACCACATATTATATGTTATACAAAAATTTATACATGAATAACTTGTTTCTATCCGGCTATCAAAAGACCCCCCTAAATAAACTACTAATACATGTATAAGCATGTCGCATAGACAAAACTACCTTAATATACAAATCAAACCGTGAATAGAAATAATCTCACTGTAACTATCAAGTTTTAAATTAAGATACGATAAAGTTAATTTCTACGTCAATTAATTACTTATATTTTGGTATAGGCAAAGGTTTATAGAAATAAATCCAGGATCTTTTCTTCCGTTTAGAACTATCTTTTAGCTCTCGTTATAACAAATTAAGCCATACAATCTGTTTTTGTATTTTAGAGGTAACTTTTAAGATATAATATATTTACTTCTCTCAGATTTTCTTACTTGAGTGGTTTTGTTGATGAAAAAAAATTATATTTAATAATATTCTTATACACTCTATCAAACGATTCCTTAATATTATAGTGTTAATTACTTGTAATACAAGTAGTCAGGCTATTTTAACACCCTTGTTGTGACCCCCACATTTTCCTTCTGTTCAAGAGTATTAATGATGAATGGGTCCGCCTTTTGGTTTTTTTCCCTTTTGGCTGACTTTCGAAAAATTGACCACACACTGAGATTCCAGGCTAATTGTGCCGAAATGTGTTCCCTCACTATCCCAGGAGAAATATTGACCTTTAAACTCATTACAGGCATTATAAGCATTGTACTGATAGAATTCAATATTTACCCCCAAAAAAGAAAATAGAATTCAAAAGTTTTTGCAAGTGATGTCAAATTATTGACCTTTAAATTCATTAAAAACTACGTCAAAAATGATTTTTAGTGACAATTAATTAATGATACTAATAGCTTAACTAGTACTCTTTGTAAATGTCTCTAATATCGGTAAAGATTTTATTACTCTTTCTTAATGTATATATATTTATTATCGCTACAAGTTGTTTTTGTAGTAGTGAGAGGAATTATAAGCATGGGACAGAAATAAAATTCAAATTTTTTTGCAATTGGTGTCCAATAATAGTTTTGTAGTGCTAATGAATGTAACACGTTCATTTCATATAGATGAATAGTATCCAATTATCTCTCTATATATATATTGGAAACTTTTAGTTTGAGCTCCAACATCTAAAACATATAGTACTATTTTAAAACATTATAAAAGGTTCTAATCAATATTATTCAACAACACAGGAATGGTGACCTCAAGAAGAGCATCTCCAATTACTTTTTTGAGTCGAAGTCAGCCATCACTAGTATATATATATATATAACAACACAGTTCTACCATTACAAAACATATCCATTTATATGGTTTGTTCACACAAAATTAAAAGAGGGAAATTAATGTTTTGTTTAGGTGTTGTGCTTATTACAGTTGCCATAGCCCATTAGGCATGTGTTGATCAAGAATTGAATGACCAGAACCACCACAAGAGGCGCCTACAAGCTTTGCATGGTCCTCCACTTCTTCAACGTCATAGCTACTGAATTAACGATGTTTGATTGTTGGTTAGAAAGTGAATTAATTATTCAGAATATTTAATATTACTGTCTGTAGCATTTTAATTGCTATGTATAACATTAAGCACGCATCATCAATGATGGTGTTTAATTATTAGTTTACAATCCTGCGTCAACTATTCAATATATTCCTTTTGTTTCAATTTGATTGTCTTGGAGTTTAAGAAAGTAAAAGAACTTTTGAATTTTGTGTTTTAATTAAACTAAAGATATGTAGAATTCATCTAATCTTGTAATTTTAAATATGTCAAGTGAAAAATTAAATTGTTAGAAAAGGAAAAATCACATGATATTTATAGCCAATTATAAAGAAAGTAAGATAGATAAATTAAAATGATGGAGAATATATGAGTTAATTAATTTTTAATTTATAATTTTATGCTGTACATAGAAAAGATTAATAAATGCATGGAAAAAGGGTCGAGAATATCCCTAAGCTATTGAAAATGACTCAAAAATACACTTCTTCCATCTTTTGGTCTAAAAATGCCCTCCACCTTTGTTTCTATTAAAAAATATGTTTCCTTCTACCTTTTGGTCTAAAAATACTTCCAATCCAAATTTAATTAAATTAAATTCTTTTACTAAATAACTAATTCTTTTGTTTGTTCAAAAAAATAATTTTTTATTTATTCAAATTTTAATATTAGCTCATCCGATCTCAAAATATTTAAAATATTTATGTCTAACGTAAAATAAAATAATTTTTTTATTATTTAATAAGAAATAATAAATTTTTATTCTTATTATTATAATAACACAATACCATTCTTATCCTTCATTTTCACACAATAAATTATTTATCTTATTTTATATTTTACAGACTATTATTTTATGTTTTAATTTATGAAATGATTTTTTAATTATTTGGATTGATTTTTAATTATATTTAAATTATCCTGTTGAAATTTAATTATGACAATATTTTTATATTTTTCTTAATTTACTTTTTGATAAATAACATAGAATAACTATTTGATAATATTAATTTTTTAATTATCTCTGAGTCCACTCCATCATGGCATCAAAGGAGTTTCATTTCTCGTGGATATTTTTGACAATTGTGATGCAGTTTGTTTATCCAAAGGGGAGCTAATTAGAAGTGAGAAATTATGTAGATTGAGTAGTCATTTTTTAGAAGTGAGGAAATTATTGTGTTATTGCAATAATAGGAATGAAAATGTTATTCTTTATATACCAGATGCATTAATAGGAAAATCATATTCAAGACATTAACGACCTAGATACATTAACAAAAAAGCAGATACAAGACATTGAAAGCTTAGATACATTGACATAAAGATCAAATACATAAAAATATTTCATCAGATACATGAAACAAACAAACTAGATACATAGGATATTTGAAATCAAACACAATTCATAGTCGCTGAAGGTGGAAGCGAAGGAAATTGGCAATTTTGGTAGAATTTGCAAGTTTAGACTGTGAAATTGTTTGGTTTGAATAGTTCAGACGAATATTTAATATGGAACAATTGATGTTTGAATAGGTGTAATCCTCATTTCTGTGTTGAAAGGATGAACGAAAATCGTTTTTGATAGATATTCTGAAGAAATTATTTGTTGAAAGGATGAAGGAAGAGAGAAAAAATGGTGGAGAACATGGGGTGGGGGGGAGATTGAGGGATGTTGAATTGTTAAAGTACCTTTAATTAAGAAATTTTAATTTTAAGATAATTATTTAAGGGATTTGTGTATCTGATTTGACTTTTTAAAATATATGGTATAATTATTAAAAAGTGATATTATGAGTAGTATTTTAAAACTATAGGTAAAATATGTATATATGATAGTTAAGTATGTCTAATTATGTAGTTTTTCATTTTTATTAATACCAAGCATCATCACATTCAGTCTGACCAAATAGCCTAAATTAATACGCCCAATTCCCAAATTGGCCCAGCCTAAACCAAACAACCCTCGTCTATATTTAGGAAAGAAAATCTAACACCATCTGCCTTTCCTTTTCCAGTTCAGCCTCCCAACTACTCCCTTTCGACAGTCGCCGGAGTCCTTCCTTTTTAATGCGGCACAGTTCACACAAGAGAAGTCGCTAGGTACATCTACTTCCTTCCTCTCTCTTTCTTCTTGTTGTTCATTTTTTTCCACTGACCCTTCTCTTGCCCTTCCCCTTGCGTAGGCGGTAATGTATGGTCCATCTGTGCTTCATGGTGGTTTTCATCCTGAGTTTGCAGTACCAGCCCAGGTTCTTTCTCGATCTCCGCCTTCTGTACAATCTGACCCTTTATTATATTGTGTCAGTTGCTTATGTGCTCCCTGTCCATATCTTCTAGGATCTAGTGTTGCTCTCCATGCTTGAGTGTCAAAGATGACGATACACCCCTGATGCTTTATTGAAATAATATATATTAGTTTTATTCTATCAGGTGTAATGATCCCCATCTGAGGGCATTTTATCATGTAAATGGTCCTCCTGCTCCCCCCATCTGTTTATATGTCTGAAGATGAATCCTCATGATGCTTAATCTACATATTATTCATAGATAGACAGTTTTGGAGAGTCATTCAGTTTCAAATGTTTTATTTAAAGCTTATGTTTTATACTCAATATATTCAAATAATTTTGAGATTCAGTAAACTGTTGTTAAACATTTCTTTCAGATTTATGTTTGTGTATGCTTGAGTTAGTTTTCTGCTTGTAGTAAGCTGAAATGAGAGTTCGCTTGAGGAATAACAATGGTTCTCGAGTGTCTGTCACGTCCAGGGAGAAGGCTCGTGGCGTGACAAACTTGGTATCAGAGCACAAAGTTCAAGTGTCCTAAGGTGTCTATGAAACCGTGTCAGTAGGATTTATTTATGGTTGTGAGGGCCCACTTCTATAAATGAGGGACTACAAATATTTAAGAAGAGAATCCCTTCTTTAATACTCTAAATCGTGCAATAGAACTATGTCATAAGGAACTTATTCATTGATGACTCTAAGATTTGGACTCATTTAGGGCTTTATTTGGATAGATTTAGTGTCCTCAAATGCTTATTTTGTAACAATAACTAATGTAAAATCCTTGATTTCCAGGTATTTGGATTGAGGAACAAAGCAAGGACACTAATTTGCAAAAAAGAACGAAGCGAGCTGAAAGAAGGAAGAAAAGAGAGCCTAGTGATCGCTAAGTCCATTTGGCGAGTCGTCGAGTGACTATTTGACCGCCTAAAGTTCTAGTGTGCCAAGCCCTGAAAGAGAAAATTAAGTTGGAGAGAGAAAGGAGCAGTCGGCGGATCGCCGAGTGGTTTCGCGATGTAGTGTTGGATCGCCCAAAGTTACAGAACTTGAAGAAGCTGAAGGCCAAGGCAAAAAGGTGAGGACATTGAACAAAGGGCGGATCGGCGAGCCCGACTTACTGCGCCGAATGGTCCTTCGCAACATATTTTTGGCAACTATAAATACGTTTTTGAACATTTAATCTTAGAGCTTTTTGGATCATATTTTTAATTAATTAGAATTTTCAGCTTGAACCCTGAGTTTGGAGATAAGTTTTCCTTAGCTTTGAAGAATTGAAGTTTTTCATTTTTGAGAAATTGGAAGTGGGTCTTTGAGATTCTTCAATTCGAACCTTTGTAAAGACGAAATTAGTCGTACCCAGTTGATGGAAACACAATTTGGTAACGATTTTTATCTTTTTATGATGTCTAGCTAAAACCCTAATTCTTGGGGATGTGATTATGAGCTCATTTAGCTTGTATATATTGCTAATTGTTAGTCTAAATGTTGTTTAGAAGTGATTTCAATCAGTAATTGTGCTTAAATTTAAAGAATTGTAGTTGCAAATGCAGTTCTACCTTCGTGTTTTTGGCTTGCTAGAGAGAGGTTTCAAAATCAAGATTACTGAATTGATGGTCTGTGGGTATTGGGTTGTCATGGATTCAGCTCGAGAGAGTGAATCCTAAACCCTTTTCCACACATTCAGCTCGAGAGAATGAATGGACTAAAGCGTAGGCTGTTCTTATTTGCATGATTATCGATGTTCGAGAGAAATTGACTTGATTCGGGATAAATTGTTCGAGAAAAAGTTTACCTCTTCTAAAGCTTAGCTTATTCACTAATTTACAGCTATTTACTAACAGTTGCAATTACCCATTTGTCTACCTTAGCCTATAATCAAATCACACTCCAAGAACCCGTCTCATTATTGTCATCTTCGTATTATTTGTTGTTGTTGTAGCTGATAGTTAAAACCAAAACCCCCTTATTTAATATTCGTGTCACCCTCTGATTTACATTGTTTTTATCGTAAATGTCTATTCCTATGGCTGATTTGAACATATTCGTACTTTACTCTTGAATCTTAAACACGTATCACTCCCTGTGGGATTCGATCCCTACTCATTTAGTTGGGTTATTATACTGACTAACGATCGTCGACGCTTAGAACTGGATTAAGTGTCCTTGAAACGTTAATCATTCATACTCGTGTGTTTTTCAAATCCATTTGACTACCCCTCATACTCAAGGTGATTGAAATGTTAGCCCAAATCATTATCGATGAGTTACTCTTAAATAAATTCTTCAGAAAGTCAAGAGATTACATAAGAGCTTGAGAAGCCCATTTGTCCGTTTAAGTTTATTGATCCGAAAGAATGCACTCTTATTCATATGAATCGTGTGTTTGAGACAAAGCAATACGTACTCTCAAATTATCTTCTTTAAAACATTGTTTCAGGCAACACCCTTTAAGAGGAGAGTATGTTTTTGAATGATTGGATAGTATTTTTCACCCGAAAGATGGTATGAGTTGCGATGTTATAAGCCAGTAGCAGTGCCCAGAATTGCATTTAGAGATGTAGTAACCTAATAAATGTAGATAGTTATTGAGTAAAAGTGTGTAGTTATAATCATGTACCTAGTAAATCATTAATGAGGAGTTTACCTTTATGTGTAGGCTAAGGAATAATAATTTTATGTCGATTTCAGTATAGAAGGCACATAAATAGTTACTAGTCAGGATGAGTTAAAGTATACTTTAACTAGAAATGAGTTTAAGATGATGTGTCGTTGTAGTAGTGAAGACCAAGTATAGGTGTTGAATAGAAGAGAAGAGTATTCATGAGGTGATAGATCTAATCTAGGCTTATGATTTTCAAATGGAAAGCCCCATGGTATTCAAAGGGTTATAGAACTAATTAGGCAATGATGTGTAGTGAATGAGTGAATAGTACTTAGGTTGTGAAAAGAAATGCGACGGTAATATTGAAATTGATAGACTGAAGATAAATATTAACTACTTGTCATGAGGTCTTAATGGGCGAGTGTTTTATTAATTTTATCTAGTAGTCGTAAGTTAGTATAGTATGTGAGCAATTGTATTGATATCCGTATTTAGTACTAGACGCTAAGCATAAATTTGAGATGATTTTCGTGATAAAAGAATGACAACATGAGAGTGATGATGTTAGTTTTAAGATCTGATCTAGTAGGTTTGACATAAATTAAGTGAGGAATTAGGGTGTTACTTTTCGATAAATGTGAGTGCTACAAGTGTGGTATTATGACTCTTATATGAGAGCAATGAAGTGTGGCTAAGTCAAATAAAGTAATTTCATTAAGAAGAGAGAAAATGGTGTTAGTTTTTTTGGAGTTCTTTCTTTAGAGCTAACAATTAAGAAAACAATGTTGAATTTTATTAGGTACGTAGGGTTCATAGTTTAATTAAACACCCTTTTTTTTTTACAAATCTATTAGATTTAGGTTGGAGGACCAATATGAACACATTTTGTTATACATTAAGGACCATTTCAATCAAGTAAAATACATTAAGAAGCAAAATGAACACATTTGTTATACATGCAGGACTATTTCAATCAAGTGAAATATATTAAGGATCAACATAAAGCAATTACCCATATATTAAGGTCCATTTTGCTCATTTTCTTTGATTTTCACCCACTTCGTGAGAAAAGATGTAAAGTCACTACTGAAGTTCTCCCAATTTTTTTTTAAAAAAATACCTTTAACTTTGCGAGCATCCTATTACCCCACAAAAGTATTAAATATCTTTGTAAATATACCATTTCGATCCATTTTCTCACCTACCTTGTGAGCACGCAAATAATAGCGCGCGTGGATGTATTTTCTTGCTGCCAAAAAACTAATGAAAAAGCGCCACATTTCAGTTGTTTTATTTATGAATTATTTACTTCATTTAAATACATCATCTTCCCTTAAAAAAAAACTCAACAGAGAAATGAAAAAAAATGGAAAGAAATGTTCTTCATTTTAATACTTCATCATTCTTAATGGAAGCAAATTTAATAATAGGGTTTGCTCACAAAGTAAATATCCTCAATCTGATTCAATTTTAAGATTGTGAGTTCATATTAAGGAGAAATGTAAAAAATGAAGGCAAATTTAGATCGAGTCGTGAATTATAAATTGTCACCATTTATCAATATGAAGCCGATGATCTTCAAGATAAGTTGTTACGAAGAAAACGAGGAGACAAACTGAGAAATAGAAAACAAAAGAAGATTTTTTTTCCTTTTTGAAACAAATTGGGTCAATTTAATATTTAAATTAAATTTAAAAGGTGAGCATCATCACACATGTGGTGACAAAATGAGTTGAAATGATATATTTACAAAGGTATTTAATATTTTTGTGGGGTATAAAACACCCTTACAAATTAAGATATCTTTTTAAAAATTTAAGATAACGGCTATTTTTATATCTTTTCTCTTTAATTTAATACACATGTAAACAATCTGAGTCATTACTAAAACCTACACTTCAAAGTGTGAAGGAAGCGTTCGAAATTTGTAGGGGGGAAAGAAAATGACTTGCTATTTTGTTTAATAAAGAAAGAAAGAATTGCTATAAATTAATAAAATTGTATTGATTTTGAAATCTTAAATATTAGCATTTCTAATATAATTTTATAACATAAGATTTATTTTTATTTTTAAAAATCAGTCAATTTTAAAATACTAAATATTAGAATAATACTCTTTCCAATTAAAAAAGAATGACCTAGTTTGACTTGACACGAAGTTAAGGAAAATAAAGAAAACTTTTCAATCTTGTGGTCTTAAATTAAAATTATGTCAAATATACAAAAATATAATTTAAACTTGTGACCTCAAATATAACTTGTGAAAATCTAAAATCAAAGTGTTGTTAAAAAATTGAGTCATTCTTTTAGATACAGATTAAAAAGGAAAGTATGTCATTCTTTTGAAATAAATAGAATAATAAAAAATAATAACGATTATTTATATTATAGGTAAAAATTCAATTAATATTTCTAAATATTATAATTTTGATAATATAGATTCTTATATACTCTTACTAACACTTGTCAAAAGTTTCTAATAGTCATTTTAATTTCTCGAACGAAGAGATACATAAATGATGATCCTTTTATGGACTCTGCAAACCACCAAAAGTATCTTATTTTGTTGTACACTATGCACTCATGTTTATCCACGTAACAACCCGCCTAACTAATCAATACTAACATGTCATCTTAACTGCCCCTAGTT